CTCTCTCTCTCTCATCTCTCTCTCTCTCTCTCTCTCTCTCTCTCTCTCTATCTCTCTCTCTCTCTTCTCTCTCTTCTCTCTCCACTCTCTCTCTCTCTCTCTCTCTCTCTCTCTCTCTCTCTCTCTCTCTCTCTCTCTCTCTCTCTCTCTCTCTCTCTCTCTCTCTCTCTCTCTCTCTCTCTCTCTCTCTCTCTCTCTCTCTCTCTCTCTCTCTCTCTCTCTCTCTCTCTCTCTCTCTCTCTCTCTCTCTCTCTCTCTCTCTCTCTCTCTCTCTCTCTCTCTCTCTCTCTCTCTCTCTCTCTCTCTCTCTCTCTCTCTCTCTCTGTCTCATCTCTCTCTCATCCTCTCTCTCTCTCTCTCTCTCTCTCTCTCTCTCTCTCTCTCTCTCTCTCTCTCTCTCTCTCCTCTCTCTCTCTCTCTCTCTCTCTCTCTCTCTCTCTCTCTCTCTCTCTCTCTCTCTCTCTCTCTCTCTCTCTCTCTCTCTCTCTCTCTCTCTCTCTCTCTCTCTCTCTCTCTCTCTCTCTCTCTCCCTCCCTCTCTCCCTCTCTCCCTCTCTCCCTCTCTCCCTCCTCCACACTCACACATTCATACATTTATATGTATTTAGGAAATATTCTGCAAATGCAAGAGATTATATCTGAGCTTTAACATTTTTTTAATGAAAGTATTTTTAATGAAAATATTGGATAAAAGTGGTAGGTATATCATTGTGACCATGATTAACCCTATAAGTAATGGTTTTCAAACATTAGTATATGATGCAATAAGATCATCTTGGACTTAATTGGGACACAAGTGGCATACTAGGTATTTATGTTTATTTTTACATTTATTATTTATTTAAGTTGAACTATTTAGCCTTGTTATGTATTATTCATTCACTTGAAATTATAAATCCTTATGGGTAAGAGAGAAAAAAAAATATTGGCTCAACTTAGGGGTAAAAGGGTGAATTTTATATATATATGTGGGGCCCTTCATGAATAGTGCAGTTTGTGAATTGCTGCCCTAAGGATTGTAGTTTCTGAATCGCCCCTTTTCCCTCAACAATGGGTTAGTGTGAATATTCAGCTTGTGCTGGGGGTATGCAAATTTGGTCTTTTAAGGATCAAAAAGTGTGTGCCTCCTCATGGGGGTACTTGAGATAAATACTAAATAGGAGCATAAAAAAAAAATAAAAAGAAAAAGGATGGAAAGATGACAATAAGAAATTTAGCAGTTCACACTATGTCCCATTCAGACCAAAAACGGAACAGAGTAACAACCAGTCAGTTTTTGAAAATTATTGCCACACTTATTCAGTAGGAAATCTGTGCCAAAAGGTTAGGAATTCCTAACAGGAAACACAAAGATATTAGGGTTTATATTTTGAATTATTGTAAGACATCCTAGAAGGCTAATTTTGGACTTGTTTTTCGCCATTTACCATAAACGATAAAACAATATCCCATCTATTGTGGAAGTTGTTGATCACACAACACTTCAGCATGTTTCTTTCAGACGTGTTAATTTTTTACTGTCTGTCCAAAGCTGCTGTGAATGGATATTTTGCTCTTGTCATTACTTGTGACAGCCCATATTTAAGCCAATGGATATATTTGAAAACACTGTGCAACAGCCTCCATGACATACAATTCTAAAACAACCCATAGAGTCACATGTACTTTTCATGATTTGCCCTCCATGGCAAATAACAAAAAATGTAGGATTCTGAAATGGTTCGAAATATATTAGATGCCCATGTTTTCAGTCAGGGAGTCAGTTCAGCATTTTTTTGGGGGGTGCGAGGTTGGGTTGGCAAGTGAAGCAAAGAAAAATTTAGACAATAAGCTATTCTAGAGTCATTTTTAAGCTATAGCTGGACCTGTATAGGTGTCATATAGTAAAAAAAAAAGGGGGGAGGGGGAGGGGGGGAGAGCCAGACCTTGGGGGAGTAACCCCCCATTGATGCCTTGTTTTTTATGGACTACAGATTGTCAGTGCAATAACTATATGAACTTTTTTTGGAAGGAGAAATCAAGAAGATATCCCATGGGAGAAAATAAAATTCAGCTGTCGTTAATTTAACATTATGAAATCCATGTATTGTAGATTTCTCTATTCATTTGATCTTCATTTCTGTACCTTTTGTAGATCATTTTGATTTTGTAAGACAAATTATATGTATCCTGTTATAAAGTATATTGTAGTATCCTAGTATCATGCAAGCATTTCACTTATATTTTTTGAGTGAATTATGTAAATTCTTTAAAAATCTGTAAATTCTTTAAAAAAGATGTATATATGTAACCTTTGAAGTGTATGTAAACCCTGATCTAGCACAACAAAATCCGGTTCTTTAACAGCCATCATGATGTAATGGCCTATGACGTATAAGCACGTCATGACTCGCAACAGGTGGACCAGCTGCATACAGCTTAGGCCAAACCACAAAGTCTGGACTGTCGCACTATCTCTCTTTAGTCTTATTTTATTAATGTTACTTATATGCAGATGCTTTAAAGTGCATAGTCACTAAGGAGACCGTTACTGACTGCTTGGTCTCATCTGTTTACCCCATTCCTTGAATTTTAGTGGAAGTCGTTTTTAATTCTGTTACTATTATTATTGTTATACATTATTGTTATATTATTCTATTAGTAGGTGAAATAGGAGTTAAATTATTGTTATTATTCCTGGGTAAATAAGTGGGTTCATATAGACGAAGTACTTAGCTTCATATTGACTATACTTTTGGGAAACCATCTGTGAGTAAATGAAATAAATAGAACAAAAGTGCAGTAGGTAGTCAATTTATACATGACCACTTACTAGAGGAGGCAAGTGTTTTCCTTCTTATTGCAGTGCTCTCTCAACTGGCCTAAGGAAAAGTTTGAACTTTCCTGTGACTTTGGAAATTTTGTGAATAACTATCATGCCACCATTATGGATTATTTTTTCTAATCCAACCATATGAACACATAAACATCATATTAGAGAATATACACATGCATATTTGCATATGCTTATATGTTTACAAGCATGCTCACACTTACACATGTGTACACATGCATGCACACACTTATGTGCGCGCACACACACACGCACACACATTCGCACACACATGCTCACACACACACACACACACACACACTCACACACACACACACACACACACACACACACACACAACACACACACACACACACACACACACACACACACACACACACACACACACACACACACACACACAACAAATAATCTCTCTCTTTCTCTCATCTCCTCTTCTCTCTTCTCTTCTCTCTCTCTCTCTCTCTCTCTCTCCTCTCTCTCTCTCTCTCTCCTCTCCTCTCCTCTCCTCTTTCTCTCTTCTCTCCTCTCCTCTCCTCTTTCTCTTTCTCTCTCCTCTCCTCTCTCTCTTCCTCCTCTCCCCACTCACATAATTAAAGTTCGAGTATGCTTTTGTAAATAGTTTAGAGAAAAGTTGACTTTGCTAACCCCTTAGCCTGGGGTATTTCAGAAAGTGGTTAGGCCGCCATCTGGTATTATTTGTTGCTAGGCAACCTCCAGATTTGAAGGTATGCACATTCAAAGGGAGTCTCAGACCTATTTCCCGACAATACGTTCATTAAATGTTTTGTCAATTTAAACCTTCACCTATAACATGAGCATCGATATATTCACATTAATGCACTCATGTCTCATGATGTTAGTGCATTAATATGAAAGTATTAGTGCTTGTTGTAGATGAACACTTCAATTAACAAAATATTTATAAAATGAAATTGGTTTGAGATCCCCTTTGGACATGCATACCCTCATTTATTCTTAGTATGCATGAGCCTGCATGTGCTCTGAGGAGAATACTTTTCATGAGAAACATTATGACATGTATATCAGTAATTTCCATTGCTTTTTCAGCATTGTAACAGATTGAATTCTTAATATACATTGCAGTTTAGCCAAGATAGTGTGTAAAGATACATTACAGTTTTACAGGACAATTTGTTTGTTTATTTTTTGCAGTTGTATATTGAACTAGAATCATTAGTTCACTTGGTAAAACAAATATACCAAAGTTCTCCAAGTCCTAAGCTATGACAAAACAGTTTTCTTTGCAAGAGGAAATATAATAAAAGAAGCTGACAGCAGAGGAAGGCACCAATAATAATACTTAGTACTCTTCCTGAAAGGGATGTGATGTCTAGCACATTTATTTGCCTTTTAGCCATTAACCATTTCAGTAGGGGATATATATCAAAGCACCCATAAGTGCTGAGATGTATGTCTTATTTCTTACACTAAGATTTGGTTGCCTTCCTCTTCCCATGCCTTGATATTGCTCATATCAGGGAAGAAATCAGCAGATAAGTAGTAAATTTTCCAAAAACTGTAGGTCAGGGGTAAAGACATGTATGTGTGTGAGCTCTGAGGTGAATAGTATTTCCAAGTGTATAAAATTAGTTTTAAAGTTTTTATGCCACTGATTATTGTTTAATTTTATCTTTTACTGAAAGTTAATAACTACTGAATGTATAGTTAGTATTACTTGACTAAGTATTTCATCTGGTTAGATACAAGACTGTTCAAAGGACAATTGGAAGAAGAGAGAAGCAAATAATAAAATAATAATAATAAAATGATAAAATAAAATAAATAAAAGAAGCAAATCTCTTGAGTAAATTCTGGTGTAGCGTACATTATGTGTTCTATAGAGATTATTTTTTTCTTTTATTTTTAAATATACAGAAGATAAATTTTAGGTATATTTCCTAACTTAACAAGAATATTCTTTCACATTTGTTTATTGGAGAAGTACTATAATTCCAACAAACATTATTCCACTTACAGTAACAAGTCATGTAGCTTCTGTCCAAGAATGAATTGTGTGTCCTGAGAAATTTCATAATCTGAACAGATCCCAGATATTTAAAAGTTATTAGCCAATAAGGAAGCATGTTTCCTGTATGAATAACATCACCTGTAGATACAAATTATAATGAGTAACTACATTTCAGCTTCCTTTGCTGAACGATGGAGGAACCGACATCAGAACCGAAGACAAGAAGAAGAAGATCAGGGAGGCAGTGCTGAATAAAAAAAAATTCTCTCTCTATATAATTTCTGCCTTTGTTATGTGGATATGTGATATCTTATGTTTGTCATCCAATGACACCTTTATTATATATATTTAATGAAAGAAGTAAGTGATATGAGAATAGATAGGGCAGATGATATAGTCAAGTTAGAAGTAAGAATGGATACTCAGAGTATGTTCTAAATGAATTCTCAGTAGATATACAGACTGCATAATATTTATTAGTATAATTGATATATGAGTAATATTTCTCTTTTAGCTATTATTTAAAATGAATATTTGCAAAATTTATAAAGGAAATGTATTGAAAAAGAGTACAGGTAAATGTGTTCATGTGTTTTTGTGTCTATGTAATTTTGTGTGTGTGTGTGTGTGCGCGTGTGTGTGTGTGTGTGTGTGTGTGCATGTGTGTATTTGCTTGTTTTTTTGTTTTTTTTTTGTCTTCTATTACTTTGTTGAGCCGAGCACCTCTTATGTATGGATATAGTCTTTTGGAGTGATCAGTGAAGTATTTGATAAAATTAATCTAATTAAAACAGAAAGATTGTTTGTTACAGTATTTTCAGTCTGTACATTTAGTTAATATATTTTTGAATAGTGACATTTGTAGTAAATCATGCAAAGATATTTCATCTCATTTCCTAGTTATTGATTATCCTATGGTTTGGATGCAGTACATAGCATGTAACCTTACATTTTTATATTGAAAATAGAGTTGCACTTATGTGGTGCATTCAGAAGGCAATTGATACAGTAAGGATTAGGCATGTAGGTCTGTATGTTGCTCATATTTGATACTTATCCAATCCATGTCTAGACGAGATTATTTTAACAGCAGTGAAATATGATGTATTAGGAGAATATCCCTTCAGTCTGTTATTCTTTAACTGAGAAAATCTCTGCAACATAGCTACTTCTTAATATGCATAGGGTTTTTCATAACCACACTTATTGATGTTCTAATAGTGTTAATTATATTTGTACATGGTTTAGAATTTTGAATGTTTCTATTAGGTTTCCCATACTGTATTTTCGCCTAGCTTTTTCATTTATCATTCTTGTTGCTCCGTGATAGATTGTTTGTTTATCTTGAAAGGGATATGAACATACTGTGATGATTTTTCTAACTGTGGAAGCTTTTTGGTTTTCCTTCATTTTGTACCCATATCTTTGATTTCTAATTGGTTATCAACCCCAAATGACTTTTTACAGTTCTCAGTTTTTTGGTGCTTTATTTGAAATAGTCCTAATATTCCACTCTTGTTTGTCATTTCTTAGTTGTGTGAGCAAATGGAGCCTAATGAGGATTGTTGTATGCATTTTTAACTTTGTAATGCAAATATTTAAGTGATTTTTTTGGACTGTAGAAGAGAAGACATCATCTGTCTCTGCCAATTCATATATTCGTAAGTATTTACTTATTGTCTCGGCCCGACTATCATTGGTGCCTTTCTTGCAGCATATTTCAGTAAATCAAGGAATTTTGTGTGTTTTTTTTATCCACATTTTCTAACCACTCCTTATTGATAACTGAGACAGCAATATTTTAATATCACCTTTCATCTTTTGTCATTTCAACAGTGGTTCTGAAATCATCATTTATACCTTCCTTACACCTTACTTCTTTTTTTTCTTTTCTGATCTCACTTAAGGCACTAGTTTTTTATCCATGAATGGAAGAGTTCATGAATACAAGTACAGTCCACTGTGTTTTTTGTTTTATTGATTTTGTTTACATATATATGGCTTCATGAGCACACAATTGCCAAGGAATCTTAGGTAGGCTTCATAATTGACGTACACATGAAGCCATCTGTGTGTGCATAGATTTGATAAATCAAAGCTACAGTGGACGGTTCATGTACCCAATGGCAATACCTTATTTTTGTAAGATATAGTTGTATCATCGTAGAGTTGACTTGAATGTTTTCTTTTCTTTTTTCTTTATCTATTTCTCTTCACAAATGTTGCTTCTGCCTCTGCAAAAGTTGCACTATTACACACATTATTTATATCTACAAATAAAGTCAATTATTCTCATAGTTATTTATTATATACAATTATCATGGACTTTCTTAGGCCTACAAATTATCTGGATTTAAACACCATATCCTCAAACATTTGTGTATATATACAAGGGAACCCCCTTGTTCACACTGATATAGACCAGAAAAATATGACAAATAACACCTAACATATAGCATTACACAATATTACATAGGAGTACATTAGAATGCATATGTGGACCAGGACAATGATTTATATGGTCTGCTCAAGCATATACTCTATATGAATGTTTTTGTAATACTGAAGAGAGTAACACCAACTTTTTTGTCCAAGAAAAGTTTATACAAAATAAAAATGCAAACATTGAATGTCGTGAAAATAGCATAAGTATTACTCATGCCCCACTCCACCCCAAATCCCATGCCCATTGTTATAGTAGGGGAGGATAGGAGACTAATATTGAGGCCCAAGGTAGGGGAGATCCCCTACCTTGGGCCTCAGCCCTCAGCTCAACCAATTTTGCACAGACTTTTCTTCTCCCCCATTCCTTTTCCTTTTCCGCCCCCTAAAATGTGAGAGATGTGCTGAAAGAATAAAAGGCTGGCTTTGGGTCAGTCCTGATTAGCCTCCAGGAGCCATGGGCTTGGTATTCCCCAGTTTAGATATCTAGCACTCACTAGTCATGAGGACCCAGGGGGTGAACCATTTCTTTTCCCCATATACTCCAGGCTTAGCCACCCTCCCAGTCCCACAACTAGCTTATCTGAATTTGATTTTGATGGTTTTCCAACCCCTGCCTCTCCTTTGACCATGGCTCTGACCACTGATACTAATACCCCCTCCTCGATGTTTACTGACAACTCTAACCATTCCAAAAATCCCACCCAGGTTATTACTCAACATCCAGAAATCACTTCTTCCTCTCTTTCAACATTCTCCTCTCCATCTCCTACTTCACAGTCCTCTTCAATGTCTACTCCCTCTTCCCTTATCACTATTCTTCATCCTTATTGTCCTCCACAGAACTATAACACTCCACACCACCCCATCTTCCTCTCGCCCTCATCCTTTTACTGCCTCTACCTCTGGAAACCTTTTGAGTACCCCCACATTTTTCTGAAAACCCTTCTCTTTCAACAGTGCCTCCAGAAACAAGTAGGCAAGGTTACCTTTTGCAGTCGCTCTGACTGTTTATGCCTTGACCCCTTAAACTCTTGAAGACATCCAAAACTTCCTAAAGATGACCTAAGGGAATACTCCATTCCCTTATCCACCTCCTAAAATCTCTCTTCCTACTCCTACATTTGAAGTACAGTATTTGCAGATATCCATCCTCCTCCTCAAGTTTCCTCTACCTCCCTTCCTCCTACACCCTCCTAGCATACCCCACCCTCTACTGCTCCCACCTGAATACTCACACGAATCCCCTCTACCAACAACAGATCCCTCCCCTCCAGACATTCTGTCTGATACTTCACCTCCTTCTCCAGTCCCCCTTTCTCATCCCCTGGATTCTTCTAGCGTTGATGCACAATCTACCCTCATATTGGGTGTTAGGACGATTGGTTAGCGGACATGTCATCGACTGGACACTACATCGACGGACACTTTGCTGAAGGGGTGCATAGCATGTTAAGTTGTACAAAATATCAACTCCCAGTTGTACACTGTGATTGCTGAGCATAAGAAAGAGAATGATTTAAGTATCTACTATGTCTCCACAAAGTTTTTATCATCATTATAAGGAATATAAATGATGTCTATAGTTCTTGTCCCACAAGTTAAAAAAAAAGTATCTGGCTATGAATGAAAATTACTAGTTCTTGTCACACAAGCTGCAAAAAATATCTGGCTATAAACTAGAATATAATGCCCAACAAGGCATAACTTATGTCAAATGGGTAATGAGTACTGTGTGCTAATGCTATGTGAAGCGGAAATTTTAAAAAAAGGAGTGGATGTTTGAGAATGTAATAGGCCGTGCCAGGAGTTTACAGTGGAAGAGATATTGGTGGCAATATTAGTGAGTGGGAATATGGTAAAGACTAACAGATGTCAGGGTCAAAGGCTAAGTATATAGTCAGGATGACATTAGGCTTGGAATAAAAGGTATAAGTATGCCTGGGAGTAACAGGGTTCAGTTTTGGAATTCACTACAAAACTGTGTGATTATGGTGGTGGAGGGTTAAAATTCCAAGTGGGAGATACCAATAAGGAGTGGATGGGAAATATGGTAAGCCAGCTAGGAAAAGTGGAGAATGGCTGTTTAGGGTGTGCAGTGATTTGCAGTCAGAGATGGAAAACCAAATGTTACAAAGGAATATACTCCGATGAGAGGATGATGTGGGAGATATGGTCAGATTGTTCATGGACTGCATGTTGATACTGGTAAGAACGAGAGTAGGGAGAGATGAATGTGTTGGGTGTGAATGTGTTGAGAAATGAGAGAGACATCAAATCATTACCTGAAGGAAGGTAGTATATAAGTTGTCAAAATGCAAGCAAATGTAGAAATATAAGAATGTGGATGGTTGGAACAGGGATCAAAGGACTCCTGGCAGCTTATGGTATATCATTAGAATGAAGGCTGATGATGCAACCATAGGGGATGTTAGGCATTTCTTTAACATTTTCAACGATTGCATGAGGTGTTAGATGGAGAACTTGTTTGGTGGTGGGGTATGAGTTGAACTATCATCAACTGTCAGGTTGATGAATAGGAAGCAAGGTGGGCACCTAACCCAGGTGAGCAAAGCTCCCTGACAATGGACCTTCGAATCCAAATGAGTGGATTGAAGTTTGCAAGTATGAAGATTTGAATATATGATTTGGGGTCATCTTTTTTGGACCACTGCTCCAATAAGGGGTATAGGAGCCACACAGATTTTCAAGTGTCAATGATTTTGTTTCTGAATGACTTACCATTTTCTGAAAAATTACCAAATTTTTCTTGAAGATGGCAATATTCTATGCACAAATTATGATAATAATCCTATAAAGTATACTAGTAGTATACTAAATATTTAAGTTACAAATACACAAATTATGATAAAAATGCATCCTTGTAATAAAAGAAATCTGTGTAACTAGTAGGCTGGCAGAATTATATATTATAAATTCGTAAGTCTTTAACAATACAGATGTTAAAACTATAAAGGGTAAGTAATATACACAAAACGTTTATTAATCTTTACTCTAAAGCAGCATACAAAATTTCTGTTCGAGTTTGAATCTTTATTGCCAATTCTATGCAAGCAGTAATACAGGCATATTTATATTAATGGGGTGACAAAACAATATAATGCAAGATTACTCCTTTATCATAAGGCCTATCCATAATACACATTATGTGGAATGAGTCATTTACACAGTCAGGACACATGATTACATGGTATTAGGCCATTATTTCTATGGACATGTAACATACTATATAGCCCAAACATTACCCAACAATGGTTACACTTGATATGAATCAGCCAATAAATTCTTTAGTTTACCTATCAAATAAATTCTTACATGTAATTTTCTTTATAAAAATTAGCTTGCCACTTTATATAGCAAAGATGTAAACAGCTTAGACTGTATGAATATGTATACATATTTGTATGTGTATGGGCAAGTGCATGTGTATGAATTCCATATATATGCGAATGTAAAATTCTATTATATGTGTGAATGATTATCACCACATGTTTCTTTAGAGAAACTTGAATGGATGTATAATCATTTTTGCCATATACACAAACTCTGTAAGAAATACTGCCATCTTCTGTGAGCTAAAATTTACCATGATTAACAAAACTGACAGATGTGGCAGTGACCAATACAATTCTTGAAATATGAATTTTTTTTCACTGCTGTGGTATAAAAGGCAAAAAATTCAACTCCTATGTTTGGGATATATAGTACAGAAGTTTGCATAAGAGGCGCATTGTTCTACTGAAAACTCTAAAGAGAAAGAGAGAGAAATCAATACTGAATCAGTAAACTTTTTTGTTGTGAAGAATGTCACATTGCCCATAAAAATGCAACTGTATATATATATATATATATATATATATATATATATATATATATATATATATATATATATATATATATATATATATATGTATATGTATATGTAGGTAAATATTTATATATACATATATGTATGTATATATATATATATATGTATATATATGTATATATATATATATATATATATATATATATACACACATTCATATATGAATATACGTACACATATACATAATATTATATACAAACACACATGCACGCACGCACACACGTATGTCTATATATATATATATATATATATATATATATATATATATATATATATATATATATATATATATATATATATATATATATCTACTTACATACATACATGTGTATACATACATATATATATATATATATATATATATACATATATATACATATACATATAACATATATATATATATATACACA